CCCCCCCCCCCCCCCCCCCCCCCCCCCCCCCCACCCCCCCCCCCCCCCCCGCTTATTCAGCGGCTGGCTGAGTCGTTGCGAAATTTTCGGACCGATTTCCTGCGTACGCGCTGCTACTATTATACTAATAAAAGTAATATATACATGTATATATATCACAAATAATTATCGCTCTCTCATTCGCTCGCAAGGTAATGAATATGATTGGCTGTGTTACTAGCTGTGTAAGCTTGCGATCTATCAAACGATTCTTTCTTCCAAAGATAAAAACCAGAATCGGCAAAGACTGGTTTCCTTTTGAGCTAAGCTTTATTGCTGAGCACCCCGTACAAACTAGGGTTCGCGTGAACCCCCCCCCTTAAACAAAAATGTTGATTAAAACAAAATTGTGCTCCATACCCCCCCCCCCCCCCCCCTGTTAAACACACAAAAATAGTGCTCCATATCCCCCACCCCCCGCTTATTAAATGCTCATACCCTTCTCGGGCTTAGTCGCTAAGCTCTCTCGCAATGTCTCACTCTCACCTTGGCTCGAAGTTGGCAACCTAAGAACCCCCCCCCCCCCCCCCCCAAAAAAAAAGAAGCTTGTACGGGCTGCTAGGCTGTGGAATTGGCGGCCTCGATCGGTTAAAAAAAAAACCCGCCAAAGTTCTTGCCAGTTGTCATGCTCACCCAAGTTTGAAATATTTTGAAATAGATATTTGCAACAAAACTTTAAAAACAGGATAAATTTAAACTTGATTTGGATAATTGGTTCAATATCTGTTATGTTATACCTTCTTATAATCAATAAAGCCATTAACAAATAAAAACTGTAAGTTCAACAATCCCACTATTTTTTAAAAATTACAATCAGTTTTTTATAATGATAGGGCCGACTAAACAAAAGGGAAAATCAAGCTGCGTTTGGCCTAGCTAGGCGTACAGAGATGAATACATGCCAACCCAATACCTTATCGGAAAGATCTTGCCCCCTGTTGTGAATCCCTAATATAACTGTATTTTTATATTAATAATAATAATTACAGTGCTTATATATAGCGCCTAACACTTACTTTGTCAGAAGTCTCTAAGCGCTCTACAATAATGCAGCATAATTACCCGGCTTTAGCAGTGCAGCTGTTACGCGCACTGCGTTTCAAGTAATAAATGCCTACCAGATTTGCTTCACCTGGGTGGAGTGTGGCAAAGAACCGCGGACCTTGTGATCAACAGTCCGGCGACGTATCCAATCGACCACAACACCTCTATTGTAACCTTGATTTCTATTATCCTTGGTTAAAATAACGCTGAGATTGATGTTACACTTGTGGATTTTAAGCAACAAAAGTCAAATTCAAATTTGAATATTAGATTTGAATGCACTATCATATTGTGTTTGTTTTCTTCTTAATTTCCTCGCTGGAGAAAATAAAACATAATATTCCAAAAGAGGCATGTGGTAGTTGGCTTACGTTAATTATTGCCATTTCGTTTTTTTGTAATTTTGACATGTATTTGCACTCAGTTATCCGTTTGTTACACTATATTGTTGATGTTTGTTACCCTTTGTATCAACAAATTGAGAATTATCCTAGATCTATTTGTATAGATTTTTTATTAATAAAATGTTGAACTTGAATTTGAATGTGGGCGTCTTCACCCCTAGCCCTCTCCCCCTCTACTACCCCCTCTCTGTCTCTGTATGTCTGTCTCTGTTTCATAATCTGTCTGTCTGTCTGCTGCCCCCCCCCTCTCTCTCTCTCTCTCTCTTTCTCCCTCTCGTCTCTCTTCTTCTTTTTTCGCCCACAAGACTGTACTAAAGGAGGGTGCATTGTATACAAATATGTCTTATGCTATCTTTCATGATTGATGGTAGTAACGCAAATAATGTTTTGAACATTCATGACTTATTTTCCTATAACTTGGGTATATTTATGTATACACTAGAAAAAAATGAATTGCCACAAGTTCTCTCAAATATGTTTAACAAAAATACTGCATTTCATAGTTACCCCACGAGAATAGCAAAATGTTATCACCTACCAAAGCCAAGAACGCAATTTTCCAGCAGGATTTTCACTTTTACTGGCCCAAAATATTGGAATGCCCTTCCTGGCACATTAAAAGAAAAGCCCTCATTAAGTGGTTTCAAAAATGCCCTCAAGCACTTTTTTTTGCAAACGAATCAGAATAATTAGTTCCCCTCTCCCTCTCGGTTCTTTCTTTGTCTCCCTCAACCCCCTCTCTCTCTGTCTTCTTTTTATCTTCCTGCATGTCTTCCCCTTTTCTGTTTTTTACTCTCTCATTCTTATATTCTTCTTTTATCATCATCATCTTGTCATTCTGCTGATGTTTCTGATTTGTTTTTGTCTCGTTAATTGTTGTTTTTCTATTGTCTGTCATGTTTTTTTAATTCCGTAATTTTTCTTCAAAACTAAGTTATAAATGTATAAAGTATAATTATTATTGTGCGAACCTACATCTAACAAGCTTTGCTTTCAAGTAGGTTCGTTTTTTCATTTCTTGTAATTAAATCATTTTGCATTACAATGACTAAAAAACAATGTCAAAGATATTTCAATGCTTATTTCTGTTATACCATTACGTTTATTATTGTTTTGTTATTGTTTATATTATGTGAAAAAGAAATGGAAAATAAATTCGCTCTGTGTAGAGCTATTATTATTATTATAACTAAGTTTAGTTTGTTATCATTATTATTATTATTATTATTAGAAGAAAAAAAAAGTGATTTCATTCCATTATTCTCCTTCTTTGCTCACTGTTTGTGAATAAACGTATTTGTATTATGAAAACGAAATGAAGATTTGTTTAATATTTTATTTTGAATGAAATATCTAATAAAAAAAAACGTGTGTGTGTGTGTGTGTGTGTGTGTGTGAATGTGAATGTGTATGCGAGCTTGTGCGGGTATGGTGACTGAATTATATTTAATTTCATTACAAAAAAAAAATCTAGATGGAATTTGCTTCTTTGTGATCCTGGCTATATATTTTGCTTTGTATTTTGTATGTCTTATGTATTCTATTTTCTAATATGTTTTGCTTTTATATGTATATGGGTAAATAGATTCAACTCGATATAAACGATAATGAAATATAATCATATTCTTCGGATTTTGGGGTGTTTTTTGGGGGGGGGGGGGGGGGAAGGTCTTTTCTTTTTTTTGCTGAACCTAAAGTTGATATCCTTTGGCAAGATATTAACCTGCACTTGCTACTCTCCACCCAGGTGTTAAATGGGTACCCTGTAGAATGCGACCGTCATTGTTGGTCAAACAGTTTTTGAGCGTCAGTAACGCCTGGCTGGAATGCTCCCCAGAGAGTGGAGATTGTGCACACATTGTGTGCGCGGGTAAGTACTGAATCCAATGACCGGGGTAATAATATATTTGTAAAGCGCTTAGAGACATTTGTATTAAGCGCTATATAAAAATTAAATATTATTATTATATTATTATTATATTGCTTAATATATCTGCTGGATCGTGTACTATGTGCAGTATTCAGGATTTATTGAAAAGATATTATGATTATTGAATTTGGGTTTAGATATAATTATGGGCCTCATAAATAACAAACATTTTAAAAACGTATATATGCACGCAAGTAAAGTTTCATTATCCGATATCGTTGAGGCTCGGGTTATTTTTCATACTTGATAAAAGGCCCCACGCAAAAATGTATGAATGAAATAGCTAGTCATTGAATCCAATGACTAGGGTAATAATAGTTACAATGTAAATCGCCTAGAAACATGTAATACAAATTAGACTATTTATTATCAGAATAAATTACAATTATTATTAGGCCTAATATTTTCATTTAGCAACTTTATATAAAAACTCTTAACTATGAGCCCAGTGCACCATTTCCACTTCTGTATTCTGTTCTGTAAAACGAAATTAAGACATGCAATTATGCCTAATTATTAAAAAAAAAAATTGTTATGCCCTATGAAAAAAACGTTTAATTATTATTATTATGATTATCATTATTTCATTATCATTTTCATCATAATACATTCGAATTAGAAATATTTTTTTTAAATTCATGTTCATGTTTATATCGGGGGAGGGGGGGGGGGCATTTGATCAAGGCAAGCTTAATCAAGGGTAAAGTCCGGTAACAAATCAACATTCCGCAAAAATATTATTTCGGCTCGACTTTGACTCACTGTGTTACGTATACCAGCGTAAACCAGTGTTGGCCTGCTTTAGGGAGGGTACTCACTGTCGGGATTTTCCCTATGATGTCGGCCATGAAAATCAATTTCTCCGCCTCTCCGCTATGAAGCTACGGGTTTCTCATTCTCTCATTAGCATTTGTAAACTACAGCTACAATCACCAAAATCAAATCTCAAAATTGCCCTATGTAATAATAAGGGGGTACTGACTTGCTTTGAGTAATGCAAAATATCCAGTAATTAAATATGCTTTCTGGAAAGACAAAATAAATGTTCAAACTGAATGTTATAAAATTTTGTCAGTGAATTTGAACTTGCATTTAGTTCATGTTATTCTGCATATTAGCAAGTACCTAAACATTCTTCTAAAATTTCATTTTCATCCATATTATTGCCTTATGGATCTTCTTTTCTTTCAAATGAATAATATTGATTCTCCTCTGCTCTCATATGAACGTAATTTCAATTTATAACTCTAGAAAAGTATATTTTGTGAGATAAAATGGACATTTCATGTAAATTCCATACATGTATGACCTAACGCACTCTGACGAGTTTCTAGAATCCCTGAATTAATCAGTGCTTCGACCAATCAACGTCGCGTACTGGGCAGTTCACGATGTAGTCGTCATAGCTACGGGGTCAGTCTCTGCCTTGATTGCTTGACAGGTGCGTGTCAGTATAGCTACCCAGCATGTTCCCTAAAGGGAAAGGTTCAACTGTACCTTCGGACAGTCAAGCGAGGGAAAAAGTGAGTATAACTTTCATAAATTGAATAATACACCTGAAAAATGAATTCTAGGACATCAAATCTATGTGTTTTGATACAAAGTTTGACGGTTTTCTTCGCCGCAGTCGATGATGAAACACGTAATCTAGACTGCAGACTATACACTATCGCAACTATATATCGCACCGCGTACATTATGTCGCACTCGCAGCGGAAAGCGTCGTTCGAAACGAGAATATAACACGTACTTAATTTTCTTTATATTTCATTTTGTATTGCTTTTTACAGGTTAGCACTCTATGTATACGAATATTTACTCCATGTCGGGGGCACAGAAGACAGCACAGACATTTTTGTCCGAGGTAAGGTCTTATTTTAAAATTTTCATTTGTTATGTGGTTAGACCCTCTACGATTATTATTGTACTGGTTCCTGTGCATTAGTCTCCTGCACGGGCCACTGCACAGTGTAGAATGCATACAACTTTGTAGTAGCCGATGAGCTGACTTGTTGTCTGCGCGCTGTCGCACATTCCCCCTATACTCCCCGTGGATATTCAGTACAGTAGTAGTATGAACTAAGAGAATCCCTTTGTAACCTACTAAAATGTCACTTTTATTGAATCTAGTTGTAGTTATATCAATTGAAATGTATGGATTTATATGGAATGGTTGTTTTGTTTGTGTTACAGTATATATCTGTTGTGAGAATACTGTGACCATCTCTATTATATTTTGGGTTTTGTGACAAATACTCGTCCACTCATTCACTCGGTACATACAGATTACAGTGGACCTTCATTGTGTCAAAGCACAGGCTACTTTTTTTTTTACTGCATCATTGTAGATGTATAGAAGATGTGAATGTGTACTGTATATACATTGAATGACAATGTGGTATGAAATTGTGTTTTTTGTAGGGGCTACGCCTACGGTGTGGAAATATCTTATTCACTATCTGATAATGAAACTACATTACATAGGTTGAGAGTACATCACTACATGTGCATTCAAAACTTTTCTTGGATTTCACTGTGGCTGGTGTGTCACCCAATCAAAGTGTCAAGATTGACTGTGACCATGTGGTATCAAACCATTAAATAGATATTTAAACAGTGTGCACGATATGAAGACACTTTGTGACAGTGACCCATTTAAACTTTCCAAATTTTTGTAGGTGCAGTGTAGGCTGTTCAGATAGTGGGCTCACTATTGGACAGAGAAATGTGCCAGACATCTTCATGATTTTACTGTGGCTAGCATGTCACACGTGTCTCAAGCAATGTGAAAAATAATACTATTCTTTTCACCTCGTAACAGTGACCACATGATTATGATCAAAATCTCTTTGTTCTTTCTGTGGTCACTGGCCAGTGTGTCATACGATAGATAACACAGTGGTGAAAATAGTCTCTTTCACCTTTTGACAGTGACTGTACGATAATGCCCCAAATCTCTCTTTGGTCAGGTTAATCCAATTATGTCACCACAGTGTGTACTTTAACTACATTATTGCTTGAAAAAAATGTAGACACGTTAGTGACGTCACCTAGTCGCACCAAAGTCTATGGAATAATACATCCAGTCACGTGTGACACATTGTAAGAGTGTCTACTTTATTTCAAGCAATACTGAATGTGAACAATTTTTTTTCTTCACCCTATGACACTGGCTCTAACAAATTTTAAGAATCTTTTTTTTTGTCTCACTGTGTGAATTGATGTTAGAGTAGTGTGTTTGCCCATTTAGTGATTCTAAGATATTCCAAACCTTTTGTTACATAACATGGCATACTGTGTAAAATTGTGCACGCTGCACAAAGTGTAAAATATTATTGTGCACTTTATTACTGTGATCTTTGAAGAATGCTTTTGAATCCTCTCATTTGAATATGAACATTGACCACAGTGTATCACAGTATGTGAAACTGTGTGAGGATAGTTGTCTTTTACTGTGTAGAAGCCATTTGCTGTACAGTAGAGTACTGTAGAGGTGTCGTGGACGAGTGGATATGTCACCGGACTTGTGGATCACAAGGTTCGCGGTTCAAGTCCCACCGCGGCACTAATGTCCTTTGGCAAGACATTGATCTACATTTGCCACTCTTCACCCAGGTGTTAAATGGGAACCCGGTAGGATGCGAAAGCTAATGTGGTTAGATTAGCAAGTGTGCGCTTGTAAAAAAGACGCCTGGCTGGAATGCTCCCCAGGGAGTGGAGAATGTGCATACATTGTGTGCGGGTAAGCCTGAATCCTATGACCGGGGTAATAATATATATATCTGTAAAGCGCTTTGGGAGGGCCTTCGGTCCTGAAAAGCGCTATATAAGAACTAGCTATTATTATTATTATTACAGTTATGTTCTTTTTTATTCCTCATGTTGGTCCCCTCTGTCCACAGTCACAGTCAATGTGTACTAAAATTATTGTGTGTTATCCTGATGACAATGACCCTATGGAATCTAGTCAAAATCCCTGCCTTAGCCCTTAGTTTCAGTGACCATATTAAAATGTTCCGAAATTTCCAAACCCTTTCTTTGGTCAACTGTGTGCACAGTGTGTCGCACTATGGTACAGTGAGTCAGGGACCCTAAGATATGGTTTCATTTTCTTGCATGTATAATATATATATTTATATGTTTCAAATCCATTTTTGGTCTCTTTGAGGCCAATAGTGTGTTCACCCAATGACAGAAGGCTAGCCAATTTTTTTCATACTAGATCTACCTTGCACTGTGGAACTGGAAATACTGTATTTTCTTGATAGCAGGCTCATACTGAACTGAACAAAAATTCTGAACCCTTTGGTTGTTCTAAAATGTACTTGCTGTGTCTGCAATGTTTTCACTGTGTTACATGGACCGTAATAAATTGTTCAACATCCTATCTTGAGATTTAGTGTGGCCACAGTTTATCCCATTATGCCACACCACATCACACAATTACAGTATGAGCATGGACCTACATACTACAAGTAATAAAGGTTTTTTCCAGAAAATATAATAAGGAGTAACGAGATGACTACATGTAGTATATAAAACACAATCATATTTTGAAAACTTTTTTCATAAACATTATGAAACAAAGTTCTTGGTAACAATTTATCAGACTTGTATTGGCCGCTAACAATTATGGATTGTTATGAATTGGTATTTTTAGAACAATATGGATTCCAACTCCAAGAGCCCTCTATCAAAAAATTGGTATACCTGTAACTGTCAATATTCTCACCACCAATAAGAATATATTTATAATGTATATATTGTATTCATAATCGAATAATGTAGTCTATGTACATGTAGTTTATTATGACATAATTTCATGATTTTATACATGATTTCTGTTGGCACTTACATGTCATGTACCTGAAATAAAAATGATTATAATAATGAAATGATGACAATTTCAAAATGAAATTCAAAATATCTTTCAGAGATGAATTATGGACTAGTGCTGGGACCGTGTACACGTTTATCCATTTACACGAAGGAACCACTGCTATACGTCTATAAAATTCACTACACGAATAAAGGACAAGCCGAGACAAGCAGAGCACCTGCAATGTTTTCCCTGGGCGTAAATGAGATAATACTGCGAACCATTGCAGCATTGCATTGGGGAGTGGGGACGATGTGGCAAATCATTGGAACTTAACCATATTTGAAGGGCTTTCATCGAAAGGGTGCGGTGCGGTGCGGCGCGGTGTGGTGTGCTCAACGCACCCATTCGATAAAAGAGGGGGGGCCTTTTCTCGAAAGGGTGCGTTGAGAGCGGAGTACCGTTTTAACACACCCTTTCGATGAAAGCGGGGGGGCTTTTCTCGAAAGGGTGCGTCGACTAGTCTTTCGCATCAGTCATTTAAAATGAGGATCTCGGACAGAAGGTAATAGTTGCCAATTTAAGTATATCGAAAATGTATTAAATAAAATGGAATGGTCTTGATTACAGAGTGGTCTCTTTGATGGGGGAGACAGAGAGAAGGAAAAAGGGAAAGGGAAAGGGAAGATAAAAGGAAAGAAAGAAGAAAAAGAAGAGAAGAGGGAAACGGGGGGGGCGAAGGACTCTTGCCCCCCCCCGCCAAAAAATAAATCAGAAAGAGAAGGGAAAGGGAAAGGGAAAGAGAAGATAAAAGGAAAGAAAGAAGAGGAAGAAGAAGAAAAGAGGGAAACGGGGGCAAAGGGCTCTTGCCTCCTCCCCCCGCCAACAAATAAATAGTAGAGAGAGAGAGATAGAGAGAAGGGAAAAGGAAAGGGAAATAAAATATAAAAGGAAAGAAAGAAGAAGAAGAAGGAAAGAGGGAAACTGGGGAAGGGCAAAAGGGAGAGAGAGAGAGAGAGAGAAGGGAAAGGGAAATGGAAAGAGAATATAAAAGGAAAGAAAGAAGAGGAAGAAGAAGGAAAGATGGATAGGGGAAGGGTGAAAGATTCTTACCTCCCCACCCCCTCCCCCTCCCCCCCCCCAAAAAAAAATAATAAGAGAGAGAGAGAGAGAGAGAAGGGAAAGGGAAAGAAAATATAAAAGGAAAGAAAGGAGAAGAAGGAAAGATGGATACGGAGGAAGGGCGAAAGGTTCTAACCTCCCCCCCCCACCCCCTCCCGCCAAAAAAAATAAATAACAGAGAGAGAGAGAGAGAAGGGAGAGGGAAAGAAAATCTAAAAGGAAAGAAAGAAGAGGAAAAAGAATAAGAAAAGAGGGAAAGGGGGCGAAGGGCTCTTGCCTCCCCCTGCCAACAAATAAATAAAAGAGAGAGAGAGAGAAGGGAAAGGGAAAGAAAATATAAAAGGAAAGAAAGAAGAAGAAGAAGGAAAGATGGATAGGGGAAGGGTGAAAGATTCTTACCTCCCCACCCCCCCCCCCCTCCCGCCAAAAAAAAAATAAGAGAGAGAGAGAGAGAGAGAGAGAGAGAGAAGGGAGAGGGAAAGAAAATCTAAAAGGAAAGAAAGAAGAGGAAAAAGAATAAGAAAAGTGGGAAACGGGGGCGAAGGGCTCTTGCCTCCTTTCTTTCCTATTCTTTTTCGTTTTTCTCTTTCTTTCTTTTCTTTCTTCTCTTTTCTTTCCTTTCTTTTCTTTTTTTTCTTTTCTTTTTCTTTTTTCTTTTCTTTCCCTTTTACTCTCTTTTTTCCCCTCCCCCTTTTCTCTTTTTTCCCGACGGCAGCGCAATTTTACCGACAATATCCTGACAGGTGGGGGGGGGGGGTGTCGCACCCCACACCCCTTTGGAGACGCCCCTGCCTTCGCCACTGTTGGCGACCACAAGGCTATCAATACAAATTAAGACATATTAATGAAGATTCTTTTTTAATGTTGCAGAGAGATAAGTATTTTCTCTATGAACTTGTTTAATGGACAATAAATAATATTAA